CGCGAGAGGGAAGAAAAGGTGAATCACCGCGCGAAATTTCGCCAACGGGTGAAGATTATCTTTCTTCTCGGGGGGTGGCTCGCTTTCTCTTCTCGCTTCTCACTTCCTTTCTCTTAGCATTTCCCACCGTCGAGGCTCTCACCAGCTGCGTTCTCGACGTTCGAAGCCTGCCGTTTCAGAAAGGCGCATGGCTCCTTGAAAATACTTTATTTTATTGTACCGCCAGATCCAACGGATTCCGGTCTCGTTACTGTCGAAGCGGGGTTGAGTAATGCGAGATTTGAGTTTGCGTAAACTACAGTTAGGAGATAAAAAGAGAAGAAGATAGAGGGAAGAGGAAGGTGACAGCTAGCCTTTAGAGAGAAGAGTTCAGCTTTCAGGGATCTACGAGCGGGTTACGATAAGAGATTTTAAGAATCCAAGATGGGGTTCTCGATGTCCTCTTTGTCCGTTCAGATTTCGCGCTCCGCTCCACGATTCAGTCGATTTTCTTTTCTCTTTCTTTTTTTTTTCTTCTTACTGTTTGTCCGATGTGATAGCCCACCGACGAATCGAGCTCTATCCTACACAAACTCTGAAATGACGCCGTTATCATTAAGAACGGTCTTATCGGTCGTAGAGAGTGACCATTATCTCCGAACTGTTTCTGCGTCCATTGAGTCCGACGAAGACGTTTTCCCTTTTAGATATGACCTCGTTGGTCGAATGTAGAAAGTCCCCGTGGTTCCATGGAAAATAAAAATCCGCAAATGTCCTTTGATATCACAACATTACGTGATACCGAATGAGACGTAATTGCAACTAGGTTGTCAGAAAATCAAATTGTATTTCCTGCGAAAACCATAAAAGTTTTGTACGATTTCTATATACGAATTTTTACGATTATTATATTAAGGATTTATGTGAACAATAACATCGATTGATGGAATTAAATTTTGATGGTTATAATTAATGTGCTTAAATCTAAAACTATTTTAATAATAAATGTGTCAATAATATAATATACGCTTCACACGATGTAATAAGTAAGTATTAATACCTGTAAAAAGTCTGAAATTTGCTCATATTTTTATCGCACTTATAATATTATCCTAATAAAGTGTAATTAGAATAATTACACTTTAATATCTGACGCAATGTTTGACGAGCAATGAGAATGTTTTCGCTGATCGCGTATGTGATGCAGCGGAATTGCTGGAACTTCATAAATTCGCTGCAAATGGCTTACAGGTTTACCTATAAAAACATAATGGCAAGACGGTCTCCTTTCATCGTTCTTTTTCATCGAGCAATCGGCCTATCGATCCGTGGAATTTTTTTATTGCCGCTGTCCCTCGCAGCGACGATCCCTTCGTCAGCGTAAAAGAAAGTAAACATCATAAAAAAAAAAAAATTCGCACTCACCGAGTGTTTGCTCAGGTCTCACGAGAGGAATATCACTCGTAGAAATTGGTGATACAACTTTGAAGTGCATCTAAACTAGTTTATCAATATTGAGTACGTCACGATTCTCACACTTAATTAAGTTATATGTAATCGAAAACTCGAACAAAATCGCACGTGAAAATGAAGCGACGATATTCCTGTATTTAAAATAGCCGTGTACATGAAATGAGCGAACAAGTTCTCAAACTGTATATAATTCCGCTGGTGGAATTCCATGGCAATGACGAAGAGAGCGGCGAAGGGTCGCATAAATCTGCGGACGAATGGCCTGCGGGCTCATCGCGAAAAGCGTAATAGAGAATTCCGCAATTCGAATGCTTATAGGGCACTCCGGCGGAAAACGTTAGTGTGGCTATTGTGATCGACCGCGGACGGCACACAGACGGACACCACCGTAAGCTTCTAAATTATTACGCAGTTTTGGATTTAACGCAGCCAATAGCGAAAGAACGCGCTTCGGCTCGTCTCTGCAAAGTCGTAAAGCTACGGGTATGCGCTTAACCGGAAAGCTCCCGGTTATTTTTCCCGGCAATTCCTTCGCGCAGCGCACTTCTAAGCAGAGCCGAGAGAGAGCCGGGTTTACGGGGAGAAACAAAGAAAATTAAAATATCTTCCGCGAAACCATCCACCTTCCTTCAGAATAAACTAGAAACTGCGAAAGATTGAACTCCGTTTCCCCGAAAGCGAGTCGTACGTATCCTCGTAAATGCATTTGCTTTCTGTTTAGCGATGAGTTACGGTGCTGTAGAATTAATATTACTATACATTACATCATAACAAACGATGAAATTTTGATACTGTTCACAAATTATTTAAGCATGAGTTTGCAAATGTTTTTATTTTAGTTAAGTATAAAGGTTATAATAATGATTATCAAATATTAACTTACATTTGCTTTGAAACTGAATAATCGAAGAGTTTTCATTATACAAGCATGATCTATTTTTCATTATCTCATTATTTTCCATTATTCTCGATATTAATCTTAAATATTTCCTTTATCTTTTTATTTCCATAATGAACCCGTTTAACAGAGACATAGTTTTCCTTTTCGTTTTCCTTCGTTATAGAATTTTATTCAATATTTTTCTTTTTAATTTTTCGTTTATCTTGTTAACTTTAATTGTTTTATTAAAAGATATATATATATATATATTTAAAATATTTAATTTATTAAAACATTAAACGTCTTTAATTGCTAATTAGAATCAATCAATATTCACATGGTTTTCGAATGCATTAATATCGATCTATTTGCAACGACGATTAACGTTGTTGTCCTCGAAGATTTTCTGACAGATTAAGTCGACGGATAGATCGGTCGTCTATATATAGAGCTGTGCCTCGGAGGTCAGGATTAGTAAAGTTCAGTTGATGCTGGAGCAAGCCCCAGGGAAGGAGAAACGGTCCCTAAGCGAGTGATAAAATTCCTTTCCAAGTTATATTAACGCCGTTAGTCGTACTCACGGTGCCCCCGGACGAACTTTAATCGTGAATAATGATGGAGCCCGGCGGCGATTATTTTTCTCGCAGAAGGGACCGACGGCATTAGACGCAGCCCTCGAACTTCGGCGCGAAGCCATTTTTTGCAGTTCCCGAAGAATCTTTGTCAGACGGGAAAATAGACTTGACTTCTTGCTCGTTGTTTGATTCTAGACGTACTTATCGTAAATTACGGTATTAAAGATAACTAAGGAAGCCTGGCACACTTCCTCCTTTAATTTTATATTGCGGTTTCAAAAGCCGATTCACTCACCGCGAAAAACAGTACTTCCTAATTCACTTAGTTCCCGGACACTTTTTAATCGAAGACTTGACATAAAACAGGGCTGTAGGCGGTTTACTTTTAAACTTTGTTTTTAAAAAGCTGAAGTGGACACTACCGTAATTTAATTGTCTGCTGCAAAGGGGCAATTTATTAAGACGTGTAATGCCGTGACGTTAAGAACATATTTCTCGATGGACCATATTATGCCGCTACCAGCGTCGGCATGTAACAAACGTTCTTAAAGTAGCTTTATAAAAGCCGAATAGCTTCATTTGTAATAGCTAAATTGGCAGACAATGCCCGAAGGAAGATACCAAAGTCCACAAAGAATGCTTGCGTCAGCTATCATTTTTAGCTTGCAGGCGGAAAGAAGAATAATATGACTGTTCAACATTGGCATAATTTACTCCCACAGAATACTGTGTTCAATAATTAATACTGTTGTTGATCTCAATAATGATATGATATTATCGCCTTCGTATGAATATAACATAATAATAAGAAGAAATAAGTTACAAAAGAAAAACGAAAGTACGAAAGAAAAATATAAATAATATAAATTATTTATATTATTTATATTATTATTTATATTATTATTTATATAAATAATTAATATATGTAAAAATGTAAAAGTATTAGAAAATAATAAAATCGAATGCAATTTAATTAAAAAAGCGAATGACACAATATACGAAATTGCACATTAAACGTTTCTTATTTTTGCGTCAATTGTCTGCCTTTTGTTCACATTAACTGTATCTTATTACATTTTCTTTGACTGTAACAATGTAAAGAATTTCATTAAAGTAAGTGGAAACAATGGCGTTGAAGTGAAAATGGACGGTTTTAATCGTAATTCCTGCAAGAATCGATAATCGAATTCTCGCAAAGCTGAACAGACCGTTGTTTCATAATATTGTTAGTGTTTCAAACTTACGTATGCAATACGTATTAAAATAGCAAGCTATATTATGGCGTAGCTATTATTTCATGTTTATTTACTGTGCGAAGCGTTCAAAGAGAAGTCGACAGGACGAAGGACCCGAAGGAGACTTAACCAGAACGGGGGGTGCTATAATCTCATTTGTGTGGTATAGTTGGTGCATAATTCCTCGCAGTGAGTAGCATAACTTTGTACTCTCTCCAAGGAACTGTACCAAACTGGCACAGCCTACGGGAGAGCATCAACTTCCCAAACTCGCGAGTAGTTGCGTTGATGGCGATGTACCTTCCCATATGGGATGCTTGACTCCTAAAGATAATTTCTGCAGCATTTGAAACTTACTTCGCAATCGTCGCAAACGAGTGTCTATACAAATAGATTAAATATATTGTAAGAAGAAATATTTTACTTTTTGATTTTACATTAAGCGATTCGTCTATTCGAAATATTTTCTCGATTTTTATTATTGATTTTTATTAAAATAATTTATAAGATTTAATTATATGTAAATAAAGCTGATGTAATATCACTGTTTGAACGTCCTAATAATTTATAAACTTGTCAAATTACATTATTCTGGCGACCCATTATACTTTTTTTCTTGCGCAGAACTCTGACAAATTTTTCATCAAACATTTATTAAATATTCTATATAGAAGTGTGAAGGGCCAATTATTATTAAAGCGATATATATCATCGTAATTGGTTTTCTTTCCTCCCCTCTCTTTTGTGGCTATTAAATTTAAGCCACAGAACCGCCCATTGCCACCATTTCTGCGTGAGCGGCTCGGCAGGATACTTAAGTCGCTTCAGTCTCTAACAAGCTCTCGTCTCCTCTTTCAGACATGCTACGAGATGGAGAGGTACCTGAAGGACGAGCCGAAGCTACAATCGTACAAAAAACTCCCCACGGAATTGGACACAGCGCCCTGGAACCTCTTCAGGGCACCATCGATCTCGTGGACGACGTCCACTGGAACGAACGCACAATTCGACCCCCCAATCAAAATGGAGGTGTGTAACTAGATTATATCAATATTTATAAACCATTAGTCTGCCTATTATCAAAGTTTCCTAGAGAGAATCTTTCTCTCTCTAGTATTATATAAATAATCTTTTTTTTTTTTCGTTTATATATACGTTATTTTTATGTGTGTATTTTTATATAGTGCTGATAACTTTATTATCTCCTTCTTCGATTCGTGAGAAAGAAAGGATATTTATTTTAATATTATATTTTAATATAAGAATATTATTTTAATATTATTTTAAGAAATTAAAATACTTCTTTGTAAATCAGGTGACGACATCGTCAGACGAAAGAGATCCTCTCTGTCTGGACGATATTAAATTCAGTCCTGGTGATCATAATGACAGTGGACGCGATAGGGATCTCCTCGATCGTCACCTCGATTCTTTATCGATGTCCTCGGCGAGTTCGGCATGTTCAGCACTGTCCTGGGACAGTTCACCTTCCCTCTCTTGCACAGCGCTCATTCTTAAAAAAGAACCGAGTGAAGACCTTGAGGAAGATGAGGAACATGAGGTATGTTAAGCTTAGCGATTTCAATCAATAAATTTTACCTAAAATTAACGGTAATTAAAAATTTGCGTTCGATTAGAAAAATAATTAATTACAAATGGATTTATAGAAGATAAAAATATTCTTTTATATGTTTGCTGTTTTGTAACAAGTTAGAATATTTTTGAAAAATTCTGAGATGGAATTTTTGTTTTAAAAATTATCGCTTTTTATTTCGTGTGAAAATATTTTTTTAAATCTCATCAACTTTTTTAAAAGTTAATTTTATGCATGAGGAGTCCGAAATTCACGGAGATTACATAAAAAATTTCGATGTATTTATTGTAAATGTACAGTTTGTGAAGACATCTTTCCAATTAGCTTTTTAATCCAACTGAAGTTACTCTCTCGCAAAAGCAATTTCTGATTCAATATGATGCACGATGTTGCATTGATGCAACCAGCCTGGATGTAATGAGTTAGATCGCGCGATCACGATTCGATTCTCATCGGTTTATTTGTCTGCCGTAACCAGTCCGAGTCCGATACGATTCCCGGCAGCGATTCACGGACCGTGCAATCAATCCCGTTACGTTATTAATCGTAATCTCGTTGCATAATGCGCGTGGTTTTGCTGCTGCAGGAAATCGAAGAGGAGGAGGACAGCGGGTGCGAAAGCGAAGGTCAGATTCTGACGCCACCGTCGAGTCCCGGTTCGGGTCAAGGTCATTCCAACTCCAGTCACTCGTCGAGTGGAAGTTCGATGCTCGACGTGCACAACCTCAACCTTCACGGCACGGGCGGGAGGAGTGCTATCGTCAGGGTTACCGCCGGAAACGCGCAGGGTGTTGCAAGGTAAGTGTTATAAAATTCGCGTATTTTCTTCTCCGAATGATATCCGTACATGCTTCTTTTCTCGCGTTAAAAGAGGTTCTTTTCCCACGATAAAAGGTCGGTAAAAGAAAGACACCAGCGGTTCCTCTTTGACGTTCTCTCATTGTTGCTATTCTTGGGTAATGAAAACTTAATTGCCTTTAGAATTGAAAGAGGCAAGCGACTAACGCGATACTTACTCTATGAAAGACGGATGTGCCGTATAGTTACGTCTCGCTCAGAAATTATCTTGATTAACTGTAACTGGCGTTCCCTGACTTAAAGTGGTCGTACTTTCCGGGTTGACTTATCCCATCCAATTCGTTCCTGGCAATTTTCTACGGAATTTACAAAAAAAGAGACACGGGCTCGTTAAAAAAAGTTGACGTTGGGAAGTAACCTCGGAACGTTCTCGCTACGTCAGGGTAAGAAACTTAAAACAATTCGCTCTCGCGATCCATCATTAACCCGTTGCCGGAATTGCGCTCTTCTCGATTCGCTCGCGTTTCTTTTTGAAGCACGAGACGTGCGCCGATTACTCAACAGTCTACCGATCACGCTACTTGCTATTTCGCGCGCGTTAACTCGTCGAGGCTGGTAAACCGTGACACGCACAGGGTCCGTTTCACGGATGTCGCGCCTCGACAGCGCGCGACGGACTAATTACAACGTGGCTAAAATACAGCGAATGAGAGGAAGCAAATCGTGTTTTTCCAGACTGATCTCCGTCACGGCGAACGGCTTCCCCGCGGTAGCCGGCACGCAACACGCGCACGCGGGTACAACTGCAACTACGACCACTGTGGCCAACAGGCACCATGCGAGGAGCAACGAGCACAGTCCGCCCGACACGAAACGCAGGATACACAAATGCCAATTCCCTGGGTGCAAGAAGGTGTACACCAAGAGCTCGCATCTGAAGGCTCATCAAAGGACGCACACGGGTGAGTTGATGCAGCTATATCTATCTAGTAGTTGATTCGAGACCAATCCATGTGTGTGTGAGTGTGTATCGAGGCTGTCGATAAATTAGTCAGTTCAAATTGCTACTGATGCGAGATAATCCGATAGACTGTCGCGACACGCCACGCGCGAATCCAAATAATCATAAGAGCGATGAAGCTGAACTATGATTACGACGAGTTATGTGTGTGCGGTAATGAATACGTGCGCGAGAAGCGTTCACGAGCACGTCGGTGTGAGTTATAACAAAATTTTTCAAATCACCATCGGACATTCTCGCTATGGCAACAACGAGAGTATAATTAATTACGAGGCTGAATTAAGGGTGCTTCGTTATTCGCATCGATGCGTTCGAGAGATGCCATCTAACGAAACAAAGCAGACAAATATAGCGCTTATTCGCGCGTATTCTCATGTATTTATCTCTGATAGAATCAGATTTGACCGACATCGCATGTTTCTCTAATTGGCTATTGTCGTTTGGAAAACATTTTTCTGATCTTCGTACATATATATTCTTTCAAAAACAAAAGGGTACGTAATATACGACATGTAAATTCAACTCGTTTAGTGTGTTTCATTTAAATGTATCAATTTTGTCGTATCAATTACGTTTGCTTTCTATTTCTGTATTTCTGTCTGGATTTTTACGTAGCTGAATAAAGCATTATTTAAAACTTCTCTATTCTTTAATATTAGCAAAACTTATGTAATTGAAAATGTAATGAATATACATTAATAAAATACAATAATAAAATTTCTATAAATTTAAAATAACTTATCATCCGAACGGAAATGTCTGTAATAATAAATTATAACTAAATAACAATTTATCAAAATATTATTAGGTGTTGGAATTAATTCGTAGCGTTTTTAATGAAAGAATGTTATTTATTTCACATGAGCATTAAAAAATACATTAATGAAAGTACTTCCCATCACTTGTAAAACGCTACGAATTAATTCCAACACCTAATACAATTTCCGTTAACTAGATTGCATTTAAAATCTGTTATGCTTGCTATGTCATATCAAATAAGATGATTATAATCGGATTATTAATATTTAATCCGCGCGTATAAACTAAATTACGCGACAAGCATAATTATAATTCTTCGTCGGTTAGAATTCTCTTGTGTTTCGATAAAACGAATGGAATTTCCTTCCACCTTAAAGAGTGGCAATATCCATCTTGCTACTTCCATGATCCATGTTGACGGTTCGCGTCACTGTCCGAAAGCGATATTGCCATGGGTCTTCGCATTCTCCTCCCTCCGATCCTTTTCGTGGTCGCTTGCGGTGAATGGTGGCAGGCAGAGAGATTGTAATTAACGAACTCTCCTGCTCCCTTTCGTCTTTCTCTCTTCTTCCAGTACAAGTGTACGATCCATCCTCATCCTCTTTCTCGGACCCTTGCTCTTTATCCACAGTTTTTGTCGCGTCACACTCAGGTCCTAGGGTTTCAGACGTACCCTGCGGTACGTGCCCTCGTCTTTCTATGTATAGCTTAGGCATGGCCCTACACAGAGACGACGAGAGAGAGAGAGAGAGAGAGAGGGAACGAAGCGGAATGCAAGGGTGGTAATAAGGGACGGGTTGGCCGGGACGCCTCCATTCTGCAGCATGGCAGGTACGTCGGGATTGCTTCTCGCGGATCGTTAAACAGAACTGCTAACTACGGGATTATGCATACTGCGGGACCCGTCCCGCAATTATGACTCTGTTATGAATTCGTCCTGACACAGGGATCCTCCTGTCGGCGGAACGGCTGCGCCAGACGACGGATTGCCGTGACATGTACGATGGCTCGCCGTAGGACGTTTATCTCGAGACATTTACGGAGAAAAAGGTGTAAAAGCGCACTTTGCCCTCGGGTATTGGTTCACCCGTCTCTTTTCTCTTGCTCAGTCTGTACTTCACAATATCACATGCAAGATACATCGAATGTATCTGCTCCGGAACTGAATCGTTCCTCTGTCGCACAATAGTTTTCTTAAGATTCTTGTCTGTTTTATGTCTTATCTTTATAAAATGCCTTTGTAAGAAATTGAATAAGATATAGCTATATATCGTATAAAAGAAATAAACTCTACTCATTAAAGCATTTAATTACTATTAGTAATCAGTTTTTATTAAATGGCGATTCTTTAAGAGCTCTTTAATTTTTATACATCTACTTTTCATTAAACAAAATTTCATAAAAAATTAAAATTTGCTAATATTATAGCCACACAAAATTATTGTAATCACTTTTATTTAAAAAACATATTAAATTGAGAAGAAATAAAAAATTAAAAGGATATACAGATTTCATGATTTTTCTTGAAATATGACGAAAGAAACAATTGTGCGACTACTTTCGTACTTATTGATTACATTCGCTGCATGAGGAGATTTCCGCCGCGATCTCGTCGAAAAAGTTCGGCGACACGCTCTCTCAGAGTTTGCCACCAGAAGAAAAACGACCGCATCGAGAAACTTCGAGAAGCGGAGCTTTTCGTGGGGATAGAAATGGCGGTAGACTTTGATCTCACTCGACGGAATCTAATTACCCTGCGGACAGGACTTCGCGGTAGCAAGACACGAAACGAAGCGAGTCGTCGATCGCGAGACGACAACGTGAAGGTTCGTTACGAATTCCATCGGCGAAGTTTCCCTTCGGAAGGCTTCTCGATATGTAGATATTCCGAGAAGGATCGGCGAAGATCTAGTCCCTTTGCTTAGTTTGATATTTGAAGACGAGAACGACGACGACAGAAACGCGACATGCTCATCTACATCCATCGGATCACATTATTCTCGTAGACGGCGGATTTAGCGCTGATCCTACAATGTGATCCGATTAAATGACTTAATCAACGTATTTGTTTGCTAATTTCTTTCGAAGCACGATCAGACATCACTAAGTATCAAGTATGTCCATCGATTTATCAAGACCTGATTTTTTTGCATGCGAAGCTCGTTTAAAATGAACGATTCCAGCTGCGAGAGAAACCGTTGAAATATCTTGAATTTTGTTGGTTCAGCACCTCGCGATAATTTTACATTTTTTTTTTTTGGCTGCGTTACGCATCGATGCAAAATGCGATTTCTCGCCGGCCGTTTAAATCACACTGTTTCAGATCCGCAAGTTAATTAAAACGTTTAACGGATTTGGTCCTTCTGCAAAGAGGCTAATTTAAGCGGAGCGTAGCGTTTCGCGAACACTTCCGAAACGGCCACGATTTTTCACCGTCACTCACAGCGCAGACAGATTTACGTAGAATTTATGTAATGCGCAATGAGAAGAAAGCCCTACGTAATTACGTTAATTATAAATCGTAAAGAGAAAAACCGGAGGGGGGAGGGGAGGAAGACTAGTTATGGGAATGATAATACCGAAAGAAAAATCCACGGATGAACTCTTTGTTCCGTCCTTATAGTATCTTGACGAGAATAAAACCGAACTAATTCTTCTTTTTCATCATGCTTATCCTTCTCGCGTATTAGGTTCTTGTCCGAATGGGTCCTTTCTCGCTGTGGTAGCGTCGCAGGGCTCTCGTATCCGATTTTCCCACGGGTGTCAAGGAACTATCGATCGTCGTCCTGCAGCCTCACATCGGCTATGTACAGCGGCGAGAGAAAAGAGGGACGAAAGGATAGGAAGAGAGAGATTTCCAATTACAGGGACTTTCCGTTCTGGAATTCCATTCCCAATGTCATTGTTCTCGCGTCGCGCGCCGCGGACAGGACTTTGATCCTTCGACGATGCGAGATCGCTTCGCCCGGGACACTTAACAGTCCTTCACTTCATTCCGGAAAGTGGATAGTCAACATATATGAGAAAGAGCGATTTTATCCCTTCTTTGAGTTCACTTGACAATCGCTTGATTTCGTGTAGGAAATGAAACATTTAGCATTCTTCGTTCTAAAAGAGAAAAATATTTATTCTGAAATCCCTATTAATACGCAATATATGATCGCTTGATAAATTTATAGATACAAGTTTATTAAATACTTATGCAATTAATGAGAAATTAGATAGTTTGATGAAATCTATTCTTAATACCATGCAGTGACTGCACCTTTTCTTATCGCATTATTAAGGACGTGAGTTTCGTCTATAATATTTTTGACTGCGAAAAACGAGAAAGACGAGAATGGGGATATAAATGACTCAAGGATGATAATACGTATTTCATGTATATATATATATATTCATATACGATTGAAAACTTTGCTTTAACGGATCGAGGGATACGGGAGGAGGCAGTTGCGGTCGAAGGGAGTGAACTAGTCGAGATTACGGAGATCAAAGTAGGTCAGCCAAAGTATAATAATTTAACATGAGAGCGCTTTAGAGACGCACAGCTTTCCGCGATCTTAAATCAAACGAAGAATGGAACGAGCGGTGGCGCGGCTCCGAGAACTTATTTATCAACGTAACTCGCGACGATGAATCCACGCTGTCGAAAACAGTCTGCTTATATACATTACTTCTGCGTTTCTCCTTAGACGTGTCGGTGTATCCGCGAACAATAGAACCTGAAGGTATCCAGCGTCGGGAGGGCGGTATAATCGAATTAACCATAAATCCAATGCATTTCCGCGCAAACGGATATCCGTGATTTATGCCTGGCGAATAGTCCGAAGCGTGAAAGAAACGAGCGGCGCAATCGCCTGGTTAAAACATTACAATGAAGCAAGAAATAAATTTGCAAAACGACAGAATGACTTTCTTAAGTTTCCAACGTTTGCATGGAAAATATATCGCTTTCCTCTACTGTATCAATTGTATCACCATTTGTCGCCCTTCTCATTTTACTAACATTTGGATTACTTAAAATGTATTTATGTCGATCACAAAATACGCTGTTTTTATGAAAATAATGAAAAATATATATTTATTAAAAAAAAAAATGATATAAGAGATTGAATCTCAATCGATTGTAAAATTTGCATATTCTTAGTAAAAATAAAGTTAATTCTAATTATTGCTACA